AACAACAAAACTCTAAGGATGTTATGCCCTAGTGAGTGGATCAACATCTATGAGGGCCTGAGTTCTTTGTTCCAAAATGAAGTTGCAGCATCTGAGACAGTTCACTGCAAGAACATGACACATGTGATGAGAACTTACTTTGTGTCAGGCTCTGCCTATTAAGGGACCTACAGGCAGCATCTAATTTGACACTAATGTGTGCACATGTGTATTGCATAAGCTATAAGTTGTGCTACTGTCACAAGAATGCAATCCTCTCCATGGGGAAAGCAAGCTTCCTTGGTGCCCTCTGCCAGGTCTACTGAGAGGCTGAATGACCATCTGACATCTGACTGCTATGACTGAAACAAAAGGAGGCCTTTCAACCTTACTTAAGATTACAACCTTGGCTGCCCAGACGGCTCAATGGGTGCTCACTGCCAAGCTTGAGGACCCGAATTGGATCCCTCAGTCTCACATGGTGGAATAAAAGAACTCCCAAAGTGTCCTCTGATTTGCACACATTTACCACCACCACCCCCACACACATACAGAGCAATAAAATTATAACCCTTTAAAATGCATATATGTACAAAATGACAACATGTGTGTGCTCTCCTCCCACCTCAGCCTTCTGAGTACCTGAGACTACAGACTTATGCCAGTGTGCCTACATCATGCCTATATATTTAAACTATATGAACAGGAAATGTCTTATAATGTGTACAGAAAGGTGAGCAAAGAACTAACCTTAGAATAAGGAACTGAGGGGCCAGGGGTGTGGCTCAAGTGCTTGCCTAGCACCCATGGGGTCCTATGCTCAATCCCCCTACACTAGAATTAAACTGGGTATGATGGCGCATACCAGAATTCCAGAACATGGAAGTAAAGGCAGGAAGATCAGGAGTTCAAGTTCATCCTTCGCTACAAAATGAGTTTAAGGCTAGCCTAGGCTACAGTATATATTATATATATTTATGATGCCATGAATGTAAATATATAAAATTTTATATATCTTGCACCTCTAAGATGGTTTTCACCTCTATTACTTGTGAAACTTAAAATACACAAAATAAGATAAACACTAAAATATTAACACAGGGGAAACAATTCAGAGGGAAATAATATACTAAAATGTTCACTATGTTCATGACATTTACTTGAAGAGTTTCTTTTCTCTTCTTTTTCTCACTGTTATTTTAAATTTTCTGTCTATGTATTGGATTTATTTTTACTGACTTTGAATGCAAATATATTCTGATAAAATTAAGCATTATAGATTAAGACTTTTTGTGTCCCAATCCTAGCTTCCTTTTGTGCTCATGCATATTGCTTAAGCTATATGTCTTGTTCCTGTGACAAAATTCCCAACAAAAGCAGCTTAAGGAAAGAAGAGCTTATTTTGCTCACAGTTTGAGGTACAGTCCATCATGGTGGGGAAGGCAAGGCAGCAGGAGCATGAGGCAGCTGGTCACGTGGCATCCACAGTCAGGAAGCAGAGATACGGATGCTGGTGCTCAGTCCACTTTCTCCTTTTTATACAGCCTAAGACCCAAACACAGGGAATACTGCTGCCCACAGTTAGTCTAGTCCTTCTAAACATAATTAACCAACACAGACGCTAACAGACATCTTCAGAAGTGATTCTAGATCCAGTCAAATCCTGGTGATTCTAGATCCAGTTAAAGTAAAAAATCAATACTGACCATCACATAAGTCACTGTGTGCATTTGTGTGCAACTTATGGGAGTCAGCTCTCTCTCTCCACCATGTGGTCCTGGGAATTGAACTCAGGTCATAAGGCTTGGCAGCAAGCTTCTTTACGCATCAAACCTCATCTCACTGGCCCAATGTGCTTTTGAAAACTTGCATCACATTTGAGACCCTCTATAATTTCATTCATCATTATCTCTCAGACTCCATGTCATTAAATGACATGATGACATCATCATTGACTAACCAGGAATCTAGAACACAGAGACACACGGTTATACAAACTCTCTATTACCATCATTTAGCTTGGTTAGTTTCCTATTTTAACACTACAGCGAATTCCCTTCTTAGAGATTTCTTTGGAAAAAAGACTCCAAGAATTGGACTTCTGAGGCCCTATAATTTAAAGCTATTTCAATAGATACTCCTCCAAATTTCTCATTTAAATGACTGTATAAGATTTATTCTCCCATCAGCAGTACCTGGCACACATCATGGTCAGTGACTGCCAAACCCTTTCTTTTTTGTCAGTCTGTTAATAGAAAGTAGAATCCTGTTGTTTAACTTGATTTTCCATGGAAAAAGGACGTGATCTTCAATGTGTCATACATACATATATTCTTTTTATTCTCTCTCTCTCTCTCTCTCTCTCTCTCTCTCTCTCTCTCTCTCTCTCTCTCTCTCGTGTGTGTGTGTGTGTTGCAGTAATCAGTTTTCTTCTACCATGTAGGTCTTGGAGATCAAACTCAGGGATTTAGGCTCAGCATCAAGTCCTTTAGTTGATGACATCTTGTCTGCCCCTGTATTCCTTCTACATAAATGTTTTTAAATTTTCATTACATGGTTATCTTCTTTTCATTGATTTGCAAGAGTTCTTTAAATAGTCTAGAAACTAATCCTTCATTTTTTATGTGCAAATAGACTCTTTCAGTCTTTGTGGTTTGGCTTTTGTGTGATTTTTTTTAAAGATTCATTTTTAATTATATGTATGAGTGTATGGTTGTGTGAGTTTGTGCACATGAGTGCAGTGCCCACAGAGGCCAGAAGAGGGAGTGAGCTGGAGTTACAAGGTGGTTGTGAGCCCTGGTGGTGGGTGCTGAGAACTTAACTTAGGCCCTCTGTAAGAGTAGTATGCACTCTTAACTGCTGAGCTATCTCTGCAGCCACTGTGATCATTGACCTAGTTTTTCATATTTGTAAGTCAGATTTGATGAATATCAGAAGCCACATTTTGAGGTCTCCATCCCAAGGTCATGTACATTATCCAAACTTTCTTTTACTTCTTCCATGTTTATTTCCACTATCTGAAATGAAACCTGCACTTCTTACTGAAGTCCCAAGCTCTCCCATGCTACGTGCCTACATGCTTGCTAGTGCCTCTTAAAAAAAAGAAAGAAAGAAAACACAAAATAACAAACAACAACAAAGACAAGATACTTTCAGGCTGGTGGCATGGCTCAGTGAACAAACCACTTGCCGTACAAGCCTCAGGATTTGAATTAAATCCCTGAAATCTCATGGAATTAGAGAGAACTGACATTGGTTCCACAGAGCTGTCCCGAGACTGCCTCGAGCACTGTGGCATCACCTGTCCAAAAACAGCAGCAGCAGCTGCAGCAGCAGCAGCAGCAACAACAGCAATTCTTTCCCTCAAAAAACCCATCTGTTCAGTTCTTAGAGATACAGCTCAACCAGGAGTTAGAAGAATAATAAAACAAAACTAACACCTCACAGAACTGATTGCCCCTTGTCTGTGTTCCTGTAGCAGTTTGTCCTGCCATTCTAGTAAAAGCATATCTATCTTTCCCACTTACTGCAGCAAAAACTGTCTGAGGCCATCTGTGTATTCAGCACTTTGTTTAATGAACGAATGAATAAAACAAACAATCTCTGTTTTAAAAAAGGACTCTATTAAACCTTTCAACAAAGCAGAGTGCTTCTGACCATGCTAATCAGACTCTTCGAGATGATTCCTCTAGAGAGAAAACATTAGCTGCCTCAGGACTCCACCACCACAATGAAACCAGTTTTCCCTCTCTGCAAAAGAAGAGGCCAAAAGTGGAAATCCAGAGCCAGCTAGCCCTTTCAGACGATCTGAGTGGACACAGATACTGCTCAGCACCCCCAGGAACCAAGAGAATTACATTGCTCTGGAAGAATGTGGCTTCCAGGACACAGACTGCATCTCCACAATTTTCTCCTGGAAGTACACATTTCCAGCTACCTACTCTCTCAACAAATGAATTTGGTTCTATCATAGTTTGCTATAATAATAGTCAGGAAATGACCAGAAAAGAAAAATGCTAGCAGCATTATTTGTGTAGGCTGATGAAAAAAAAAAAAAAAAGACAAAACAAGACGACATACCCTTTTACATCAGGAAACCTCCCTACCTAATGCCTTGGGGTGCATATCTCATACTCCTGGAGTAAGCAATGGCCTTGACTGTCTCTAAAGAGCCTCCTGAAATCTCTGCTCATCAGAGACAATAGCAGTTTCTCTAAAGAGTATCTCTAAACAGTATGATCTTGGTTGCATCTTTCTCTAAATTTTTTAAATTGTGTGTGTGTGTGTGTGTGTGTGTGTGTGTGTGTGTTTCATGTGCAGAGGGCACCCACCCCTAGCACATGCAGAAGTCAGAAGAGGATGCTGACTGGCCTGCTCTATCACTGTCTGATTCACACTTCTGAGAAGCGTCTCTTACTGACCCTGGAATTAGGCTGGCAGTTAGCATGCCCCAATGACATTCTTATCTATCCCTCCACAGCTCTGGAGTTACAAGAGCACCTGTCACAGCCTGCTTTCCATATGGGTGGTGGGGATTTGAACTCAGTCCCTCACGCTTGTACAGCAAGTGCTCTGAACAATCTCCCCAGCTCTGATTGTGTCCTTTTAAATACCCCAACATTTTAAGCCACCAGATACTTCCTAACTGCACAAACAAATTATTTTTGAGACAGATCTCATGTAGTCAAAGTTGGCCCTGACTTCCTATACAGAAAAGATGACCCAAAGCTCCCAAATCACCTCTCAGGTTCTGGTGTCACAGGCATATGCTCCCACACAGGGTTCATTCATCACTGGGGATGGAATTCGGGGCTTGGTGCATGCTAGGCAAGCAAGAACTCTACCCACTGAGCTACACTCCCATACTCCAAGATGTGACACTTTTTAAACAACCATTTATTCCATTTTCCATTCATTTTATAACAAGAAAGGAAAGAAGGAAGCAATGAAGAGAGGGGAGGAAGGAAGAAGAAAAGTTAATGGCAGAGAGAGACCTCTATAAAGAAAAATCAAGCCAAGGATTAATTTTTTTAAAGATTTATTTGACAATTTAAAAAACTCACTTGTGGAACAAAGAAAGGCAAAGGTGTCCCCCGGGCACCTTCACCAGGATGAGGTGGGATTAGCTTTGTATCTCTTATAATCTTCTTCGCAGAAGAATGCAATTTCAGTTTCACTGGCTGAAAAGAAGAAACACAGAAAAGGAGAGAAACAGGATTTTAACGCGAAACTAGATTTTATGCAAGTATGGAAATCTGTATTACACCTAGTGCTTAAAATGAAAAGACAAGTTGTTGGTTGGACTGCATAATAACTTTTTACCAAAACAACCAGAAGTTTCAGTGTGGTTATGGGAGATTAAAACTCAAATAATTCAAAGATAGAAGGAAGAATAGTTCATGCTAGTGAGATGATAAAGGAGCTTTCCGCCCAGCCTGGCAGGCCGAGTTCAATCCTCAGAGCTAACATGGTGGGAAAGAACCGACCCTCTCAAGTTGTCCTCTGACTTATACACATGCTCACTCACATGCACGCACACATACAGCAGTGTGCACACACACACTCAAAAATAAACGTAATTTAAAAATCTGAAAAAAATGACTCCTAAAATTAAAATCCAGAGTTAACACAAGAGTGAAGATTTTCAAGAGGTACCTACATTGCTCATTTATATCCCTAGGAAAAGAAAAAAAAAAAAAAACCTTGATCTCTTTCAAATAGACTAGTCAGTTCCAGAAGGGAAGGGACTCCCCCGCCCCATGAAATTAGCCCGTAGGTATAATAATTTAATACTTAGAGGATCAGTAGAATATTTTACAGATCACTTTACATTCTCCCTCATGACCCATCAAAATATGTGTCTGAAGAAGTTAATTTTTGGCCCTGCTTATGATTAATTCATGAGGCTTCAGCAATATGCAAAGTGAAAGACACAAATTGGCTTCTATGCAATACCTTCAAATGCCTCTAATTATTCACGGGGGAAATGGCGCAGCTAAAGGACCCACAGAGGTTCAGGGCGGCCACGAAGCTTTCAACCTAGCGGGTCAAGGACTCTGTCTTCTAAAACAATAAGTCAGCATCATTATTAATTCAGATCTGATGGAGAGCCTTCCCATTATTAAACATGCGGTTCTTCAAGGTGTTGGCACCCACAAGTTCCGCACTGGTTTTTTAAAATTAAACCAGGAGTTAATACAGTCTGCTCGGCTTTCACAGAAGGCAAAAGGGCCTTCCGAAGCTCAACAAGAAAACAGACATGATTATTCGTAATGAATACTGAGTACTCAATTAACATAGGCGCTCCAAAGAGACAAGTAAAACTCTTCAACCCAAATAAACAGGATGAGGAGTGCAGAGGATTAGCGCAGGTCTGCAGCGTATGGCTCTAATCTCATCATTAGATTCTATCACAAAAGAATGAAATTCAAGAGATTAGTATGACATTTCATTAAGAATGGTTTTGCTGTTTGCAAGAATATCATATGTAGTGTCTCTCTACCAAAAGCTATCCTGTGTTCTAGAGAAAATAAACAAACATTGAGAGAAGAAAAATGATATAGTCATATCCACAGATCCTTGGTCCAGATGTACTTAGTCCTCGGAATTAAATTTAATCTAAGTGGTTGATAATTTGATTGGGAACTCTCATCGCACTGAGTGGGGGGGGGGCACCACAGAGAGAAACTGAGAATCAGAGAGGGGTTGGAAATGAGACTCCCTCAGCAAACAGTGAGGGAGTGTGCAGCGCAGTTGTGCAGCTTGGCAAGCAGTCACATTTTAAAGAATCAACTGACTGTGTATAAAGGGGGCTGGAGGGGCTGGGAGATAGCTCCAGTGGATAAGAACACTTGCTCTGCAAGCATGAGGACCTGAGTTCGAATCCCCAGAACTCATGTAAAAGCTGAGCATGGCTGTGTGAGCCTGTTACCCCATCACTGTGGGGTGCAGACAGGAGGATCCTGAGAGCAGCCGGCCTAGCTGAAACAGTTTAAACAGTGAAACAGCGAGTTTCTGGGTCAGTGAGAGACCCTGTCTCAAGATAATAAGGCACAGAGTAATAGAGGAAGACACCAGATGCCCTGGTGTCATCCAGGGGCACATCCACAGCGCCAGAGCCATGTTTCTAGTAGAGAAAGCAAAGGCGTATGATCTATCCACAGGGCAGGCTTTGCCTTCGTGCACTGTTACATACAGAGCTCTACATTCTTTGCCCACCTGGCACTTTGCTCAAGTCCCTGCATTGTAATCACACTGCCTGCCTTTGACACTCACCTGCCACCTCTCAGGAGTTTGATTTTGAGAAGACCTCGAGAGCAACTCAGTATTTACAGCTTGGCTTCTGCTTTCCTGTTTGTTTTGAGACAGGGTCTGACTATGTGGGCCAGGCTGACCTCACCTCACAAAGACTACTTTACTCAAGTTTGGAATCACTTTTTTTATTGGTTTAGTTTGATTGGGTCTTTGAGACAAGGCTGAACTGTACAATGCAGGCTGATGGCTGGGAGCTCAGGACCCCTCCTGCCTCTGTGTGTGCCACCACATCTAGCTGTGACTCGGTATCTACACAGCGTGGATGGATACAAAGGCTCAGAACAAAAGCACTGAAGGTGGAGATTTTATTTTCAGACCATGACCCCCAGTCTCCCTGGAAAACTGGGCTAATAAATGGGTTAATTTTTTTGTTTGTTTGTTTGTTTTTTCGAGACAGGGTTTCTCTGTTAGTTTGGAGGCTGTTCTGGAACTCGCTCTAGGCTGGCCTCGAACTCACAGAGATCTGCCTGCCTCTGCCTCCCAAGTGCTGGGATTAAAGGCGTGCACCACCAACGCCCAGCCAAATGGGTTAAATTTAATGCTTCAAATTATATATATTTTAAAGCTTGACTGTAACAAATCAGAAAACACAAACTACATGTTAACTATTCAAAGGTAAGACATGAGTAGTGGGGAGGTGTCTCGGGGATAAGGGCACTTCCTGTCTAAGCACTGGGGAGGTGGCTTGGGGTAAAGGCACTTCCTGTCTAAACACTGGGGAGGTGGCTTGGGGTAAGGGCACTTCCTGTCTAAGCACTGGGGAGGTGGCTCAGGGGTTAAGGGCACTTTCTGTCTAAGCAGGAGGGGCTGAATTTGAATCCCGTACACCATGTAAAAACTTGGTATGGTCACACAAGCCTATAACCCCAGTTCTGTGGGAGTTAGAGACAGGAGGCTCCCCAGCACTTGGTGGCCACCACCTTAGCTCCAGGTCTTAAAGAAATGAGGTGGAGAGAGACAGAACAGACACCTGATGCCCTCCTCTGGCCTCTGTGAATGCACTCCCACACACGTACGCTATCCAAACACACACATACAAAGTAAAGCATAAGGCAGTTTTAATCTTGGCATAGTGGCATGTACGGAATCCCAGTACTTGGCAGGCTGAGGCAGGAGGGTCATGAGTTCCAGGCCACCAGCATGGATTACACAGAGATAACTTGCCTCAAAAAACCCCAGCTAAACTAACAAACAAACAAGAAGTACATTTCTGACATTAACACAAAGTTTCCAAGTAAAAGGAATTTTTCTTTAAACTGGATATCTTTTAGAAATATCTGCAAGCATGGGTTCACGTATTTAAAATTTTTTTAACAATTTAAACAGCAATTACAAATGATTTTCTGTAAACCAAGTCTTTCCTGTGTAGATGAGGATGTCTCCAAACTTCTTACCCTGTCTCCACCTCCCAAATCTGGGGTGACAGGTGTGGACCACCATGTGCAATGCTGGGGCCAAAGCTAGGGGCTTTGTGGTGATCCACAAGCACTCTCCCAACTGGACTGCACCCCCTCCCACACGTGATAATGACCACTATATAATCACTCTCTCCACTCCTATCCCAACAACTCTTACTCCCCAAGTTCTATTTAAAACAGTTCTTTAAGCACAGCAGAGAAGAGCTGGCAGGAAGACGGCACCTGGCTTTAAATTAAATGTGCTTTGAGCACATTACAGTCAGTGCAGGGGTCTCGGTGTGGGAATCTGATGACTGTGTGAGATCTAAAGCCAGGTGTCTTCATGTCACTATCAAATAAAAACCAAGGAGAGCCCCCCAAATACATTGTGGAACCCCTTCATACTGGTATGCCATTGTAACATGAGCCAGGACATCCAGACTTTGGCTATAACATTAAGAATTTGATAGCTCTTCTAAACAGATTTCTCTCTCTGCCTCTCTCTGTCTCTCTCTGTCTCTGTCTCTCTCTGTCTCTCTCTCTCTCTTTCTCTCTCTCTCTCTCTCTCTCTTACACACACACACCTCTTTAAGGGGAGACTGATGATTACTTGAATTTAGAGAAAGTAAGAATAAACTATTCTAACTCTGAAATCTCATGAGAAATTAAATACAGTTTAATTAATCCTCTGGCCTACTGAAACAAACCTACCAGGTATCAACAAAGACACACTACAAGCTCTCTGTCTATATCCCTGACCTTAAGCTGTGACGTATATAGTCTGAGAAAAACTGACATGTGAGTGCTGGCTTTGTGGGACATACAGGACAGACTGTCAAGTGAAGATAATAACATTTAAAAAAAAATAGTTCTCAGAGCAAAATGAGGTCCAAAGAGAAGGTTTCACTCTCTCTACTACTCCAGGTAAATGTTTTATCCTTCTTTTTGTATATATGTGAATGTATGTATGTGTACATGTATGCGTCCATGTGCATACATGTCAGTTCTCAAACATCATACACCTGGTTTTTGAGATTTATTATTGTTCATTTTATGTGTATAGGTTTTTGCCTTACATATGTCAGTGCATCACATGTATACAGTGCCTGTGAAGGCCAGAAGAGGGAGTCAGATTCCCTAAACCTGGAGTTACAGATGTTTGTGAGCCACAATGTGAATGTTGGAAATTGAACCTAGGTCCTCTGGAAGAGTACTCAGTGTCCTTAACTGCTGAGCCATCTCCCCAGGCCCCACTTGGTTGTTTTTGAGGTAGGGTTTCTCACTGGGTAGAGTACTTGATGCAGTGTGTTGGATCTCTAGCACCCATGTAAAAAGCTGGGTATGGAGGTCCATGTCTGCACTCCAGTACTTGGGGAAGGAGGCAGAGACAGGAGGGTCTCTGGAGCTCATGGGCCAGTCAGTCTAGATGAGTTCCAAGGTCTCAAAAAATAAGGTGGAGAGCTGGGCCT